ATACAGGACAGATCATTGCATTTCTAGATGCACTACATGCAGTTGTGCAGGACAGACCACAGCAGCCCAGGTTTGTTGTCATCTGGGATAATGTTAGTTTCCACCGGGTTGCTCTGGTCCGAGATTGGTTCAACAACCATAATCATTTCACAGTTTTATACCTGCCCCCTTACAGCCCCTTTCTAAATGCAATCGAGGAATTCTTTTCAGCGTGGCGGTGGAAAGTATATGATCGGCAACCACATGCCCGCATGACTCTTCTGCAAGCAATGGAAGAGGCATGTGGAGACATTGAGGTGGGATCAATCCAAGGGTGGATTCGGCACACAAGGCGATATTTTCCCCGATGCCTAGCCCGCGAGGACATCGCCTGTGATGTTGACGAGATCTTGTGGACAGATCCGAACAGAAGGCATGATCCATAAGCCCCCCCGCCCCCCACCACACACACGCACACGCACACACACACGCACACACACAAGACAAGTATATGTTTTTTCCCCCAATAGCAATTTATCCAGTAATTGTTTTGTTTTTTTACTTTTGTTTTGTTGCTAAATTTGATGTTAAGAATTTCTATAAGAATGTTTTTTTTTTTGTAAAAACTTTTTTGTAAATACTGTTTGATTACTGCAGAAATTCTACTTTTGAGTTTTACAGAAGACAATGATAATAAAATGACAATAAAAATAGAAACACAAAGACTGCAGTGTTTTATATAAAGCCCATCAGTGTGTTTCTGGTGATATGAAAGAGTAATTCAAATGTTGCTTGTGTGTGTGGTTTTGTTGCAAGAATTTCATTTTTAGAAAGGAGTGTTAAGTTTTGATTGCAGTGTTTCATTTTGGCATATATGTGAGTTGTTAATCTCCAAGTGCTATGTCTGATTGGCTTGTGTGTTGAGTTTTGACATAATGAGCCAAATTCTGCAAAGAGTGTGTAAGCAATAGGCAAAAACTGTAATCACTGTATGTATTGTACTGCATGAATATGTTTTGTAACTGCACAACTACTTTTTGTAGAATTGCAAGGCTGCCACATGCAGGTGGAAGGACAGCTATATTCACTCGGGAGCAAGAGGCCTTTATAGTTGTATACTGTAGTACAGTGCATTGTAGGCTGTATACTGTACAATGGACAAATTGTATGGCCCTGAACATTGTGCTTTCCATTTGTTAACAGTACTGACTGTTCAATAGATTTTGACTGGTTGCAGGTTCATATCAACAAAGAACAAGAATTTAAGTATCACAGAGACAAAGGACAAGTTTGTGAGATGCAGGGTACAGTACTGTAAAAATAGGGGTACAAGGAGGAGGAAGAATAAAAAACAAAATTGCAAAGAGCAAAGCAGAGTAGTAATTTCTGATCAATTTTGAGCTACTATGGTAGAACATGTTTTCATTCATCAAAAGACAATGACGGAAAAATATGAAATTTGTTTTGAGATATAAAATGTACTTCTCCCTGAGAACTGTATGTTTTGAACAATGTGTTTTCAATTTGTCTGTGTATTGTTTACTGACTGCTTGAGAGTGTTTATCATTTTGATCACTTAGTTTATGATTTGAGAGCAGTGTTTGATTTTGAACACAGGTAAAACTGTTTTGAGGCGAAAGTTTCATTTTGCGAGAGGAGTCAGAGGTTTTGTAAATAGTGCTTGAAGATTAGGTTTTGTGTTTAATGTTTTCAGGAAATGGAGCAAGGTTTCGGAAATTGTGTTTTAGCAATTGAGAAAAACTGTAACATACGTTTCCTATGCCAATAAAGCCCTTGAATTGAATTGAATAGAGAGAGAGAGAGAGAGAGAGAGAGAGAGAGAGAGAGAGAGAGAGAGAGAGAGAGAGAGAGAGAGAGAGAGAGAGAGAGAGAGAGAGAGAGAGAGAGAGAGAGGTAGAGGTAGAGGTAGAGGTAGAGAGAGACTGTGTGTGTTAGTGTGTCAGGATGCCACAGGCCCTTCTACCACTTCATGAAGAAACTAACACATATACAGTACCAGTCAAAAATCTGGACACATCTACTCATGCCAAGGTTTTTCTTTATTTTCACTATTTTCTACATTGCAGAATAATAGTGAAGACATCAAAACTATGAAATAATACATATGGAATCATGTAGTAACCAAAAACACGTTAAACAAATCAAAATATATTTTATATTTGAGATTATTCAAAGTAGCCACCCTTTGCCTTGATGACAGCTTTGCACACTCTTGGCATTCTCTCAACCAGCTTCATGAGGTAGTCACCTGGAATGCATTTCAATTAACAGGTGTGCCTTGTTAAAAGTTAATTTGTGGAATTTATTTCCTTCTTAATGTATTTGAGCCAATCAGTTGTGTTGTGACAAGGTGGTATACAGAAGATAGTCCTATTTGGTAAAAGACCAAGTCCATATTATGGCAAGAACAGCTCAAATAAGCAAAGAGAAACGACAGTCCATCATTACTTTAAGACATGAAGGTCAGTCAATCCGGAAAATGTCAAGAACTTTGCAAGTTTCTTCAAGTGCAGTTGCAAAAACCATCAAGCGCTATGATGAAACTGGCTCTCATGAGGACCGCCACAGGAAAGGAAGACCCAGACTTACCTCTATTGCAGAGGATAAGTTCATTAGAGTTACCAGCCTCAGAAATTGCAGCCCAAATAAATGCTTCACAGAGTTCAATTAACAGACACATCTCAACATCAACTGTTCAGAGGAGACTGTGTGAATGAGGCCTTCATGGTTGAATTAATGCAAAGAAACCACTACTAAAGGACACCAATAATAAGAAGAGACTTCTTGGGCCAAGAAACATGAGCAATGGACATTAGACCGGTGGAAATCTGTCCTTTGGTCTGATGAGTCCAAATTTGGATTTTGTTTCAACCGCCGTGTCTTTGTGAGACGCAGAGTAGGTGAACTGATGATCTCCGCATGTGTGGTTCCCACCGTGAAGCATGGAGGAAGAGGTGTGAGGGTGTGGGGTTGCTTTGCTTGTGACACTGTCAGTTATTTATTTAAAATTCAAGACACTTAACCAGCATGGCTACCACAGCATTCTGCAGTGATATGCCATGGTCCTCTGTAGCTCAATTGGTAGAGCATGGCGCTTGTAACGCCAGGGTAGTGGGTTCGATCCCCGGGACCACCCATACGTAAACATGTATGCACACATGACTGGAAGTCACTTTAGATGAAAGCGTCTGCTAAATGGCATATTATTATTATCCCATCTGGTTTGCGCTTAGTGGGACTATCATTTGTTTTTCAACAGGACAATGACCCAACACATCCCCAGGCTGTGCAAGGGCTATTTGACCAAGAAGGAGAGTGATGGAGTGCTGCATCAGATGACCTGGCCTCCACAATCACCCGACCTCAACCCAATTGAGAGGGTATGGGATGAGTTGGACCGCAGAGTGAAGGAAAAGCAGCCAACAAGTGTTCAGCATATGTGGGAACTCCTTCAAGACAGTTGGAAAAGCATTCCAGGTGAAGCTGGTTGAGAGAATGCCAAGAGTGTGCAAAGCTGTCATCAAGGCAAAGGGTGGCTACTTTGAAGAATCTACAATATAAAATATATTTGAATTTGTTTAACACTTTTTTGGTTACTACATGATTCCATATGTGTTCTTTCATAGTTTTGATGTATTCACTATTATTCTACAATGTAGAAAATACTATAAAAAATATAAAAAGGTATCCTGTCCACAGACTCCATCCTTGTGTAAGGCCCAAGAGGAAGGGGGACACATCAGCAGCTTGTGCCCCCACATTCACTGGGGCCTGTCTCTGTCTGTCTGTCCTTCTATCTGTCTGTCTGTCTGTTTGTCTGTCACTCGATATCAGGAGGTCTGACTGTCAGTTAATCTCCTAATTTATACTGAACAAAAGTATAAATGCAACATGCAACAATTTGAAAGAGTTTACTGAGTTACAGTTCATATAAGGAAATCAGTCAATTGAAATAAATTAATTAGGCCCTAATCTATGGATTTCACATGACTGGGAATACAGATTTGCCTCATGCAGCACGACACATCTCCTTCGCATAGAGTTGATCAGGCTGTTGATTGTGGCCTGTGGAACGTTGTCCCACTCCTCTTCAATGGCTGTGCAGTTGCTGGATATTGGCGGGAACTGGAACATGCAGTCATACACATCGATCTAGACTATCCCAAACATGCTCAATGGGTGACATGTCTGGTAAGTATGCAGGCCATGGAAGAACTGGGACATTTTCAGAATCCCAAACAGATATAATATTTGACTATAACAATAATAATGTCAAACCTTGCTACATTTGTATATGATCATGTTTCTCTCTATTATGCATTGGAATACTTGGGAAAATATTTCCTAAATTAAAATGACTTGGAGCTGATTTCCTGGTGTTTTTACAGAGAGACCGATCACTACATTTAAACTAATGATTAACGCTTTATAACCATTTTTGATTGGATTATTTTTAAGTGATTTCAAAAATTCCAAATAATGTGCTTTTACCACAGTAAATTGTAGCAAACAACTATCAATAACCTGTTATTATCTGTAACTGTAGTAGTAGAATGTTGTGTTAGGGGCTGGAGGTAAGTTACTGGATGTGAGAGGGACCTCTTTACTCAGTGTAAATAATGAAGGAATGTTAACTCAAATATATCCAGGTCCACCAAAACAAGGACATGCCCAGCACCACACGAAGACGAAAAACCCTGTACACTCCTGCTTGAGAATATCACTTCTATATAAATTAATTCACATATGCTGTCTATCTTTAGAGTTTGTGTAGTGCAAACATGTTAATCTAAAATGTGTCAGTGGTTTCAAGTACGTTTTAACTGAAAGCTACAAGGTTCGAGAATAAAGCACAGATGAATCCAATATGAATGTACTTGTGTTAGGCAATAGAGCTACAGACTGGGGGATAAACAAGTGGGCCGGACTTGGAGGTCTAAGAGCATACCAGAAGTTATGAAGATAAATATTTCTCCTTCGGATCAGTAAGCCACAGAAAGGTGTGCTTGAAGAGGAGACAGAGGGGTGCTTTGTGCCTCTCCACCAGGTCAGCTCCCTCGATCTCTCTTTCCCATTCCCCCTCCTCTCTCGGTCGCTATTCCTCCTTCCCACTCTTTCGTTCTCTAGCTCCCAGAGTTCACACAAACCTGGGTACTTAAAAGATGCTATCTCTGCTCTGCTCTTCGCTCCTGGTCATTCTAGCTCAACAGGTAAGAGCTGCGACTTTCCTTTTCTCTTAACAATAATGATGAGTTGTGTCTCCGCGGTCTCTGATAGGACCAGGCTTGATGTGATACTCAACACCTGCTTTCTAGGGAGAACCAGGAAAAGGTGTTGACAACAAACCACAGAGAAAGGTGGTAGGGTTGATCTCAAAGTAAGGCATCAGTTGTACAGATGTTATTCACACCTTACAGTATGTGGAACTTACGTTACTTTCTAGGTTATGTTATTTGAATGAAAGTGTTTTCTTGGCCTTATTTTATGTTTACAACTTGATTCAAGGTTTTGTTGTGAATGAGTGGCCAATTCCACAGTGGCAGGAAATGACTATTGAGGCTTGCTGAGTGAGGTAACGTGACAGTAAAGCCGCAGTCAAAAGGGTTCCCTTTACGTCACGTTTTAAAAAGACATCCATGGCAAAAGAGGGCAAGAGGTATGAGGTTTGCTGTGCTTTTGAAATGAACTCATTCTGTAAACCTGGCAGAAATGCTTCAGATTTTTGGCATAACCAATCAATCATTCAAATTTATTTTATAAAGCCCATTTTACAACAGCAGTTGTCACAAATTGCTATACAGAAACCCAGCCTAAAACCCCAAAGAGCAAACAATGCAGATGTAGTGGCACGGTGGCTAGGAAAAACTCCCTAGAAAGGCAGGAACCTAGGAAGAAACGTAGAGAGGAACCAGGCTCCGAGGGGTGTCCAGTCCTCTTCTGGCTGTGCCGGGTGGAGACTATAAGAGTATGGTCATTTAGTAGAGAAAATAGTTGAGATTGTAATCAGGGGTTGGGAAAATATTTTTGTGTTATAATGGTTTTACAGGATTGCAAAAACTGGGTACCTTGCCCTTGTCAATATCTCCGTTTTTATTGTCAGAAAGAGCATGTCTAAGATCACACAGGACACCGGATAGGACAGACTAGCCCTTGCCCCCGGCACATAGGCTATTGCAGCATAGATACTGGGGACTGACACAGGGGGCAACCAAGCAGGATATAACCACACTCACTTCGCCAAAGCACAGCCCCCACACCACCAAAGGGAAATCAACAGACCACTAACTTACTACCCTAAGACAAGGCAGAGTGAAGCCCACAAAGATCTCCTTTACTGTACGAGCCCGAGGGTTCGTAAAAACGGACAGAAAGATCACGTCAGTGAGTCAAGCCACTCAAGTCGAGTATAGCAAAAAAGCCTGGCATGTCGTGATGCGTCCTAGAGATGGCATGGGAGCCCCCCTGTAATAGGGTCAGAGGCTAGGCAGAGACAGCAAGGGTGGTTTGTCACTCCAGTGCCTTACCGTTCACCTTCGCACCCCTGGGCCTGACTACACTCAATAGTAGGACCTACTGAAGAGTTGAGTCTTCAGTAAGGACTTCAAGATTGAGAGACCGAGTCTGCGTCTCTTACATGGATCGGCAGACCATTCCATAAAAATGTAGCTCTATAGAAATACTAGGACAATAAGGAGGCCTGCGTCTTGTGACCATAGAATACGTGTTGGTATGTACGGCAGGACCAAATCAGAGAGATAGTAGGGGCAAGTCCATGCAATGCTTTGTAGGTTAACAGTAAAACCTTGAAATCATCCCTAGACTTAACAGGAAGCCAGTTCCTGTTAAGGAAGCCATATTACTCCAGAGGCTAGCACTGGAGTAATATGATCAAATTTTTTGGTTCTAGTCAAGATTCTAGCAGCTGTATTTTACAGTAACTGAAGTTTATGTAGTGCCTTATACGGGCAGCCGTAGAGTACAGCATTACAGTAATCTAATATTAAAAGCATGGATGTGCCTTTCTGCATACTTTTTGGACAAAAAGTATCAGATTTTTGCAATGTTACTAAGATGGAAAAATAACTGCTCTTGAAATACTTCTGTAAAAAAGATATGAAGGATATTGGTTTATAAAGTTGGTTTATCTTTAGTAAAAAGATTTACAGCTTTGCCGTTCTTTTCTTTTTATTTAAAAATCATCTTATTAAAATATATTCTACATGTGATAAGGACACACAGAGGGCCAGAGAGAACAGACACTTATGATCATCTGAAGTACCCCAAAAGGCCAATAGATGTCATCTGATAAAATCCATACATTCCTTAAAAGTAACCAAAATTCTGGTAGTTTACTGGTAAATTTAGAAAGTTTCCAATAATATACTCTCCCTTTGCAACCCTAATCATAGTCAATGGGCATTTCATTGACTCACTCCCTTCTTCCATTGAGTTGTCCCTTTTTTAAATAATACATTTGAAATCTGTGCTATAGAATTTCCATATCCTGGAACAGAAATGAATTGCTCCCAGTTAAACTGACCTAAATAGTGCGACTTACTGCTAATGTACAAGGAGCTACTTGTTTATGTCTGAGGGCTGAAGAGATTTTTCGAGAGCTCCATGTTCTGTTTCTTGATTAATAATAAGCCATTGCTGATACTGGAATGAAAAAGACAAAAATGGTAAAGTAATCTACACAGGAATGTATAATAATAATAATATGCCATTTAGCAGACGCTTTTATCCAAAGCGACTTACAGTCATGCGTGCATTCATATATTTTTTTTTTGTGTATGGGTGGTCCCGGGGATCGAACCCACTACCTTGGCGTTACAAGCACCGTGCTCTACCAGCTGAGCTACAGAGGATGATATATTGTGTGTACCAAAATGCTCATCTGAATTATATCACTATTAATACTGATATAATTGATATAATTTTTTGCCTCTTATCTTTTTATCGTTGTTCGTAGCCTGTTGACTGTTGTGAATGTTCTGAAAATTTTACCTTAGGTGACTTCTTGGTGAACTTTAAACTTTATCAAGAATTGACCAAAGGCAAAACTATATGAAGTCACATAAGGCTACACTTTAAATCGCAGGCACTGTTACCTATTGGGTAACAACTACCTTTGACTACATATCCATAACACATTTACAGTATTACACATCTATAAGTATTTCATTAACATTTTATAACAGGTCCCAACCGCATTATTAAAGGTTAATGAAATACTTCCATAGCATATCTATAGCGGATTCATGTCATGCTATGCAAGAGCTCATATTTAGGCATCATTACAATGAAAGTGTAGCGTCATTGTTATGGCAGTTTTTTAATATAAAAGAGTGCTTCTGCATACCAGTGTTAGTCAATAGGACAAACCATGTTTTGTAAATTATGCTGATATACACTACCAGTCAAAGGTTTAGAACACCTACTCATTCAAGGGTTTTTGTTTATTTTTACTATTTTCTACATTGTAGAATAATAGTGAAGACATCAAAACTATGAAATAACACACATGGAATAATGTAGTAATCAAAAAAGTGTTAAACAAATCAAAATATATTTTATATTTGAGATTCTTCAAATAGCCACCATTTGCCTTGATGACAGCTTTGCACACTCTTGGCATTCTCTCAACCAGCTTCATGAGGTAGTCACCTGGAAAGCATTTCAATTAACAGGTGTGGCTTGTTAAAAGTTAATTTAACTTCAATTAAAAGTTAAATCACTGTCTGTGATTTATTTAGAATTCAAGGCACACTTAACCAGCAAGGCTACCACAGCATTCTGCAGCGATACGCCATCCCATCTGGTTTGGGCTTAGTGGGACTATCATTTGTTTTTCAACAGGACAATGACCCAACACACCTCCAGGCTGTGTAAGGGCTATTTTACCAAGGAGAGTGATGGAGTGTTGCATCAGATGACCTGGCCTCCACAATTCCCCGACCTCAACCCAATTGAGATGGTTTGGGATGAGTCGGACGGCAGAGTGAAAGAAAAGCAGCCAACAAGTGCTAAGCATACGTGGGAACTCCTTCAAGACCGTTGGAAAAGCATTCCAGGTGAAGCTGGTTGAGAGAATGCCAAGAGTGTGCAAAGCCGTCATCAAGGCAAAGGGTGGCTTGCCTCATATTGGCTCACAAGTCGGTTTTGTTGCTAAACAACCAACCCACCTATAGGCCCGTGACTTACCTTCTTCTTCTTCTTCTTCTTCTTCTTCTTCTTCTTCTTCTTCTTCTTCTTCTTCTTCTTCTTCTCACAGAGGTCAATGGTGCATGTTGAATCCTCAGGGTAAATTTTACAGATCAATTTGTGTAGTTGAGGGTCATAATATAACTTTTTCGTAACTCATTACAGTTATTTTCAATCATTTTGGCAAGTTTTCAGATGTAAGTAGAATATTTTAAAAACTCTAAGTACAAAAGTCTAAACTGATAAGACTTGCAATGCCCCTTATCTTATGTTCAGAACCTTCACTTGTGCATTCACTCATGAGTCATTAATGCAAAATCTATGTTTTCCGTGAAATACCATGAGAATATTTAGTTTAGTCACCAATACAACAAATAATGAAAGGCTCACCATTTAGTCATTTTAACTACCATTGAATCCAAGAGCAAAAAATACAAGATACACATTTCAAAACTGTTCTTTTTGAAGTGCTGAATATAAACAATAGTAGATGGTATCATTTTCCATACAGTATTTTACGATAACTTGACATTTTTTAAATAATTTGTATGCAATGGCAGGTTGTGAGCATGTTGAGAAATATGTCAGTCTTAGTTTCATTATCCTTTTACAGTACATACATAGGACAAATCATTAGAAATAAGGGTATTGTAGAGCAGTTGGCTACTGTAAAAACGTAGCACGGTGTTGTAAGCCATAACTGCCCCGATTTAACATTGTACAAGATCACCTTTCTACGCGACTTGTCAACTGATACAGTATTGCCTGTCAGCTTAGTGTATCAATAAAATCCATATAATTAATGGAATATATTGTTATATACAACCCAGGTATTTCAACAATGCATCGTACACTACACTATAATCCCAAAGGGTAGCACACAGTGACGCTTTCCACTTTGTCCTATTGAAACAATGGAGAATGATGAAGTAGTATTTACAGCCACATCCATATATGATTTGGTTTTACCTTCCAACATAAATTATTGTCTAATTGATCCATTTATAGAATTGTGTGATAGTTAATTGTATTGTTAACAAATGACAAGAAAATCATATCAAAAGTAAAGTGAATTTTGAAAAGAAGATACTTAGATTGAATATATATCCAAATTGAAAGAGTGATTTGGTGCAGTGAACAAGTGACTTTGTGGATTTGTTTGCTGTACTCAGCAAATAAAAATGTGCTTAGAGTTTTGAAACATGAGCCACTTTGATGATCTGTTTAGATTTTGGTGCTTAGTTGTGAAAATGTACCACGTACTTGTGGAAATTGCACCAAAGTGATTGAAAAAAACTGTAACAGCCCTCCTCCACATCACAATTAGGCCTAAAATGGTCATACTGCTTTATAACGCACACATGAAGGGTCTATGTATGAATTCTATGCAGTCAAAGTAAAGTCAAATCTATTTTCCCATTCATAAAGCATTTATAGCTAAGCACTTCATGGTAATTAATGCTGCGTTCACGTGCTATCGGTAGCTCCTAGTGCCCAGTGGGAAATTTCACTTGAATGACCCTCCAAGTCAGAATTAAAAGTGGGAAACTGAGAAAATGTTGTTACCTGATTTGCTGAGTTGTGACATTTCACCACTGACTTGTTTTACCCTTTCAACCAAAAACTGACAACAAATAAGTTTGACAATTACAACCTTATCAATATGGATAATGTAGCTAGTCTGACCATATTGTCAATGTTAAGCAAGCTAGATAACATTATTTTTAGCAATGTTAGCAACTTTATCAAGCTGGCTAAAATGTTCCGACTTCAAAAGCACTTGAACACAATTATGTCTGATTTACCACTTCCCAGTTTCCCATTTCTCACGAGCATGTGAAGCCAGCATACCTGTGCAGTTTGCCAACATTGAAAGGACTATGAATTCTATGCAGTTAATGTACTGTCATTTCTATTTTCCCATTTATAAAGCATTTATAAACATGCCACGCTTATAAAAAATTATACAGACACCACAGATTAAGCAGGTTGAGAGAATGCCTAGAGTGTGCAAAGCTGTTATCAAGGCAAAGGGTGGCTATTTGAAGAATCTCAAATATAAAATATATTTTGCTTTGTTTAACACTTTTTTGGTTACTACATGATTCCATATGTGTTATTTCATAGTTTTGATGTCTTCACTATTATTCTACAATGTAAAAAATAGTAAAAATAAAGAAAACCCTTGAATGAGTAGGTATTCTAAAACTTTTGACCAGTAGTGTACATTTTCTTCATATCATAATGTTTCTTTAGACCTGCCTAAAACAAATAATGGATTTATTGTGATGGTGTATATTAAATTGAGTTGGACTCATTTTAAATGTAGATGTTCCAAAGGTGCATATCAGTAGCTTGTATGCGGCTTGTAGCCTATGCATGGAGGCCTGGAGATGCTAAATGTGTTTATGTTAATTATGGTCAATTACCGTGAGACCGGCATTCTTTTGCATGACAATAACCTTCTGACAAAATGACATGACCGTCACAGCCCTAGTTTGGCCTATAGACATATTCACTAACACTGTTATGGCAGAAGCACACTTTTGAGAACAGCCATAATGATGACACTACGGTGTCATTGCAATTATGCATCTATTAAGATACCTAAATATAAGCTCTTGCATAGCATGACATGAATGCACTATAGATATGCAATGGATATAGCTAATTAACATTTCATAATGTGGTTACGACCTGTTAAAAAAGTGAATGAAATGCTTATAGATGTGTAATGAATGCATTATGGCTATGTAGTCAAAGTAAATTGTTACCCTGTTAATTCCACCTCCCAAGCAGTGGTATTTTACCCATAACCCTACAAGAACCCTGTCCTTCCTTCCCTCCAGTCTCTATGCAGGGCTCAGAACCATGGTGGGCAGCTGTCTGCTCCGCGAGGCGGCAAGGCCGTGTTGGAGAGGAAACAGTTCTGCCAGTGGCCATGTAAGTGCAAGGCCAAGCCCCAGTGTGCTCCGGGGGTCAGCTCTGTGCTGGATGGCTGTGGCTGCTGTAAGAGCTGTGCCCGGCAGATAGGAGAGGCCTGCAACGAGAGGGACATCTGTGACCCCCACAAGGGCATGTACTGCGACTTCTCTAAAGACCAGCCGCGATATGAGGTCGGAGTCTGCGCTTGTGAGTGAACGTTTCATTTCATATGTTACCCCTTCGGGCTATTCATAGAGTTAAAAGTCAATGTATGACAATTACATTTTTTCAGAGGGGGCAGGAGCTGGATTGTGCAAAAGGACTCAGCTACTTCAAAGAACTGGCTAGAAACTGTACTACAGCTAAATACTTTAATCCCATGCCACTCACTCAGGATTGGAGATTTGCATAAACCTGTAGTTCCATGGGATTGGTTGACTCATTTACCTATGGTCTCTTTGATCATCAAAATAACCCATTAGGTCACACACACACACATATAAATCAGGCAAACAACCCATGGCCAACCACACTAATAGAAACACACTAAGACCAGAAGAATGCTGCAAGCACTGCATAGGCCAGTCAACCGAGTTGTGTTCAGTTTCCCCATCTCCTTCTCTGTAGACTTGATGGCAGTCGGTTGTGACCTGAACGGGGTCCACTATGAGAACGGCGAGGCCTTCCAGCCCAGCCCACTGTATAAATGCACGTGCATCGCGGGAGCCATCGGCTGCACCCCGGCCTTCATCCAGAAGCCCACTGATTTCCTGGGTCCTGCCCCTCTGAGGAGCAACGCACCCCTGCCAGCTGGCCTCCAGAGCGCCCCCGGTGCCTCCAGAAAACACCAGCAGGACACAACCAACATGGCCGCCATGCCAGGTGTGTGTTTGCAGGGAAAACCAGAGCCAGAACCGCTAGCTTGTCTGCCCTGGAATGCTAATTGCTGTATAATATGGATGGAAAGAGTGAGGCAGAGGGCGTTTTGATTACTTTGGCTGGGAAGTGCAGAGAGAGGATGGAGTGTGGCTGACTGACTGTGGTTAGCCACGCAGAGGGAGTAGGGTGGATGGTTCCAGTCATGCACAAACATCCATAGAGAGAGCTCTAGCTCACATTCCATCAAAAGCACCAATGCCTCTTTTAAGTATGCTTCTTTGATATATTTGAGTAAATGTTCGCTTTGCTTGGCTTGAAAAACAAGAAAGTCCTGCTTTCTAGCGAATCTGAAAGGTTAGCTGTCACTAGGTCTTGATGTTTTTGATATTGCCAACACACAAATCAAATATATTTGCAATCACTGACTTCAAACCTTACAAAGAGGCAATTGAAACCATCTTGACATCATGACCTGCCTAAAGATAATTTCTCTCCAACTGGGTTATCCAATCATCTTTAGCAGGCAGAATGACTGAGGACCGATGGCTCTTGATTCACTCTGAATAGCATGTGCTCTGTAGCAGCATGGCGGCGTACAGGCGGGTTCCTTCCTCTAGCGATGCCCTTTAATACTGTAATACCGAAAGCTTACAGGGATCCTCCTTTAGCCTGGAAGAAGAACTGCCTGATCCAGACCACTCCGTGGAGCCCCTGCTCCAAGACCTGCGGCCTGGGTATCTCAGTCCGGGTCAACAATGACAACGGCAAGTGTGAGATGAGGAAGGACCGCCGCCTCTGCCTGCTGCGGCCGTGTGAGAAGAGCATCATGAAGACCGTCAAGGTGACTGCCCACTGACCAGCCAGGCTCTCTCTGTGGGTTGATGATGCATTGTCCAGATGGTGATGATGGGTGAAATGTAAAATAAATGACTTGTATGCCCACAACACCGTGATATTTCTAATTCTGAAATATGAAATGTGATTTATTTAGAATTCAAGGCACACTTACCCAGCAAGGCTACCACAGCTTCTGCAGCGATACGCCATCCCATCTGGTTTGGGCAACTCAATTGAATCATGTATTAACCAAAAACAAGTATTAAACAAATCAAAATATATTTTATATTTGAGATTCTTCAAAGTAGCCACCCTTTGCCTTGATGACAGCTTTGCACACTACTGGCATTCTCTCAACCAGCTTCACCTGGATTGCTTTTCCAACAGTCTTGAAGGATATGTGCTCATATGCTGAGCACTTGTTGTTGCTTTTCCTTCACTCTGGGGTCCAACTCATCCCAAACCATCTCAATTGAGTTGAGGTTGGGTGATTGTGGAGTCCAGGTCATCTGATGCAGCACTCCATTACTCTCCTTCTTGGTCAAATAGCCCTTACACAGCCTGGAGGTGTGTTGGGTCATTGTCCTGTTGAAAATCAAATGACAGTCCCACTAAGCGCAAACCAAATGGGATGGCGTATCGCTGCAGAATGCTGTGGTAGCCATGCTGGTTAAGTGTGTCTTGAATTCTAAATAAATCACTGACAGCGTCACCAGCAAAGCACCCCCACACCTCCTCCTCCATGCTTCACGGTGGGAACTACACATGCAGAGATCATCCGTTCACCTACTCTGCATCTCACAAAGACACAGCAGATTTCCACCGGTCTAAATGTCCATTGCTCGTGTTTCTTGGCCCAAGCAAGTTTCTTAGTCCTTTAGTAGTGGTTTCTTTGCAGCTTTTAGACCATGAAGGCCTGATTCACACAGTCTCCTCTAAACAGTTGATGTTGTGATGTGTCTGTTACTTGAACTCTGTGAAGCATTTATTTGGGCTGCAATTTCTGAGGCTGGTAACTCTAATGAACTTATCCTCTGCAATAGAGGTAACTCTGGGTCTTCCTTTCCAGTGGCGGTCCTCATGAGAGCCAGTTTCATCATAGCGCTTGATGGTTTTTGCGACTGCACTTGAAACATTTTTCAAAGTTCTTGACATTTTCCAGATTGACCGTCCTTCATGTCTTAAAGTAATGATGAACTGTCCTTTCTTCTTGCTTATTTGAGCTGTTCTTGCCATAATATGGACTTGGTCTTTTACCAAATAGGACTATCTTCTGTATACCAACCTTACCTTGTCACAACACAACTGATTGGCTCAAACGCATTAAGGAAAGAAATTCCACAAATTAACTTTTAAGAAGGCACACCCGTTAATTGAAATGCATTCCAGGTGACTACCTCATAAAGCTGGTTGAGAGAATGCCAAGAGTGTGGAAAGCTGTCATCAAGGCAAAGGGTGGCTACTTTGAAGAACCTCAAATATAACATCTTTTGATTTGTTCAACACTTTTTTGGTTACTACATGATTCCATATGTGTTATTTCATAGTTTTGATGTCTTCACTATTATGTAGAAAATAGTAAAAATATAGAAAAACCCTGGAATGAGTAGGTGTGTTCAAACTTTTGACTGGTACTGTGTGCAGTAATCAGGCCTGGGTGTGGCTAGAGGAAATGAACTCAGGTGTGATAAACCACAGTTGAGTTGTGTTATAACAGGGGGGGCAAACACTTTTTCACACAGGGCCATGTGGGTTTTGATTTTGTTTCCCTTAATAATAACAACCTTCATTTCAAAACTGCATTTTGTGTTTACTTGTGTTATCTTTGACTAATATTTAAATTTGTTTGATGATCTAAAACATTTAAGTGTGACAAATATGCAAACAAATAATAAATCAGGAAGGGGGCAAACACTTTTTCACACCACTGTTTATATATATAGATTATTTTTTTTATATACAAATGTTGAAACATTTGTATAGAGTATTGTGTAGATCTTTCACCCAAAAAAATACAAATCCATTTTAACACAACAAAATATGGAAAAAGTCAAGGGGTGTCAAAACTTTCTGAAGGCACTGTATGTTCACCAAAGGAGAGCAGAAGTAGTATGATAGGGTTTCTATCAATCATATGACAAGAGAAGATCTAACAAATGTCCCCTTTCCCTCTAGATGCTGAGAGGAAAGACGTGTAAGCCCAAGTTCCAGGCTAAGAAAGCAGAGAAGCTGACCCTGTCTGGGTGCACCAGCACCAAGAGTTTCAAACCCACTTACTGTGGCATCTGCACTGACAAGCGCTGTTGCGTCCCCAACAAATCCAAAATGGTGACCGTCAACTTCAAGTGCAAGGGCGGCTCCAACGTGCGCTGGAAGATGCAGTGGATAACGGCCTGCGTGTGCCAGAGGAAGTGCAATGACCCCGGGGACATGTTTGCAGAGCTACGCTTCCTCTAGCACCTTCTCCAGCATCTATATCAACCTCAGAGCCATATGCACACCCACAGACTAACACAGGCCTGGCCTAACTGCCTCGGTCTCTGTCCGAGTCATGGTAGTTGGGTGGACAGGGCTGAGCTGGTCACGGTTCGGCCTGGTCCTGAAGTGCTACTAAACAGTGCCTGTGTTCTCTGGCGATATGCCAATGGGCTGATATGGAATATTTAAACGTGGAACCTCAACTCATGAAGACTGGAGAGAGACAACTTGTTCTGGGTATATTGCTTGACAATTAACATGAAGGGAAATGTAATGTAAGTGATGACAATGTGGGGTTAGACCTCAATTCTATGGTTTTAACAGCACCTCATTAACAGTAAGGCTGTCAGTGAGGACAGTAGTGGCAACAGGAATAGATAGAGCAAACATGCTCTGGGTCAGTCATCTTAATTAATATTTTTTATGATCTAGAGAACCACTGATCATACCCCTTATCAACACCAAACACAGTGTTGTACCAGCTGGATCACAATACATCTTCCTACCAGTTAATTCACAACCAAGTTAGCACCACAATACCTCATACAATCGCATGTTCACTCTGATTCACTAGAGATTTAGATACAGAATCAAAATCAATAAAATGAAGTGTTAGTATTATTTTTTGTTAGTATTGTTGATCTTCTGTTTCAAGGCATACATATTCATAACTCAGTTATTCATTGTAATTTATTTTAATGGATGAGGAATATCATTTAGATACAAAGGTGTAAGAAATCCTTTGTAACTTATAAAAAAAATAAAAAAAATAAACCAGCTATTAATCAAATTACAGTACTATTTTCTGCTAATAGAAACACACACACACACACACACAATTATGTGTAAAGTCTGCTAGTGCTAACACACAGACAGAGGACCTTCATGTGGCGATGTTGAGTCTGGCTGCATCAGGCATCAGTCTGTCCTTGGTGGCATCCAGCTGACTGTACTCTTCTATCAGAGAGGAGAGGGAGGAGATAGCCTCCGTGAAGCAGCCCTGCTCCATCCCATCCACATGCAGGTAGTGATGCATGTGAGCCTGCCAAATCAATCCATCATGTTAGATAAGAATGCTTAAAGAACATGAACTGTTTGTCATTCTTTAGTATAACTCTGGTATTGTCCACTGTGAAATGGAAATGGGTCTTTTTGCTGTCTTTAACCCTCAATCTTCTGGACCGTAAACACTTATTTTGCAACAGAGGTTAGGATGTACCTTCTTCCTGTAAAGCTTGGCGAAGCGGTCTCGGAGCTCCATGAAGGTGGGTTTGACACAGGTGTTGTTGGCCAGGGCCAGTAGTGAGTGGGAGTGACCAACAGGGGGCACAGAACACAGGCCTGTCTTCCATCCCTCCTGGTTCCATGACACAAACGGCAGCGTGGGCTTCAGTCTGAGAGGAAGAAGAAGAGAAGGCGAATAAATGCTGTTTTTCCTTCTCAACAGAGAATCACCATTGAAAGTGCATTTTAGGCTCTGGGAAACCAACCCACAGGGTATTTGATTTTTTACTTAGTCACAGGAAACCCATTGAGACCAGGGTCTCATTTTCAAAGGTGCCCTGAGCACAGTAATAAAACAAAATAATCACTCTAACAAAGACAAACAACAAAACTACAAGTTAAAACTTTCAACATTACAACCACAACAATTTCTTCATTCAATAAATAAAAACTACAACTCTCATTCAACACATCTACTACAGTCGTGGTCAAAAGTTTTGAGAATGACAAGTATTGGTCTTCACGAAGTTTGCTGCTTCAGTGTTTTTAGATATTTTTGTCAGATGTTACTATGGTATACTAAAGTATAATTACAAGCATTCCATAAGTGTCAAAGGCTTTTATTGACAATTACATTAAGTTTATGCAAAGAGTCAATATTTGCAGTGTTGACCCTTCTTTTTCAAGACCTCTGCAATCCGCCCTGGCATGCTGTCTGTCAACTTCTGGGCCACATCCTGACTGATGGCAGCCCATTCTTGCATAATCAATGCTTGGAGTTTGTCAGAATTTGTGGGTTTTTGTTTGTCCACACGCCTCTTGAGGATTGACCACAAGTTCTCAATGGGATTAAGGTCAGGGGAGTTTCCTGGCCATGGGACCCAAAATGTCGATGTTTTGTACCCCGAGCCACTTAGTTATCACTTTTGCCTTATGGCAAGGTGCTCCATCATGCATACAGATGAATATTACAGGATATTACAGGTACCAGACACTGAAGCAGTCCACATATCCAGGGTTGACTTTAAATTGTATCTTTATGAGCAGGCTAATTCAACAAGAAAGGTGAATAATACTAAACGTGCCACGAGGTCTCTGTGCTCCACGAGATTTCCCCTCCTGATTTACATGGTGGTCACACACACACACAAGTATGTGCTCTCATAGAAGCTCCTGTTTCTGTTGCTCTTGACAACATGCCACATGAAAAAGGTCACTTCAGGGAGAGGAGGGAAGAAGGTGGGAGCTGAATGGGCCAGTCATGAATCAGGGGCGTCTGTAGTGGAGCACAAACACACAGCGGTGAATGGGAACACTATTTGAGAGTGAGCAGTTGGGAAGGTCATCTCTGGGTCTTATAAGTAGTTATGATGCTGGGTGAACTGGCAGCACTTTTTATTAGAGACGGGGGAGGGGAGGATAGTGCTCAAAGTCATTTCCCCCTTTGGGATCAATGAAGAATTGTTCCATGTCATTTCAGCAAGCCATGACACCCACCATCTCAGATTGTTCTGAAATTGGGACCAAATCAGATGTTAGTTACTACACTGAACAAAAATATAAAACGCTACTATTAGCTGAAAGAAAATATCCCAGAAATGTTCCATACGTACAAAAAGCTTATTTTTCTCAAATTAGTTTAGATCCCTGTTAGTGAGCATTTTATCCTTTGTCAAGATCATCAATCCACCAGACAGGTGTGGCATATCAAGAAGCTGATTAAACAGCATGATCATTACACTGGTGCACCTTGTGCTGGGGACAATAAAAGGCCACTCTAAAATGTGCAGTTTTGTCACGCAACACAATGCCACAGATGTCTCAAGTTTTGAAGGCGCGTGCAACTGGCATGCTGACTGCAGGAATGTCCATCAGAGCTGTTTCCAGAAAATGGAATGCTAATTTCTCTACCATAAGCCGCCTCCAACATCGTTATAGAGAATTTGGCAGTACGTCCAACCGGCCTCACAACCGCAGACCACATGTAACCATGCCAGCCCAGGACCTCCACATCTGGTTTCTTCACCTGCGGGATCGTCAGAGGGGGAGGGTGGGATGCTGAGGAGTATTTCTGTCTGTAATAAAGCCCTTTTGTGGGGAAAAACTAATTCTGATTGGCTGGGCCTGGCTCCACAGTGGGTGGGCCTGACTCCCAAGTGGGTGGGCCTATGCCCTCCCAGGCCCACCCATGGCAGCGCCCCTGCCCAATCATGTGAAATCCATAGATTAGGGCCTAATACATTTATTGCAATTGACTGATTTCCTTATATGAACTGTAACTCAGGAAAATTGTTCATGTTGCGTTTATATTTTTGTTCAGTATATATTTATTGAATATTATGTGAATCCTAGAAATTAAAAGGACCAATTTGCGTGCAATCAAGTAGCTTAATTTCTCAGATATCAAATACAATTTCAACAAAAGAATGTTTCAGGAATGCCAATCTTACCTGTTTCTAACTATAGAAACAAAGTTCAGGAAAATCTGAGATGGTGGGTGTCGGAATCCTCTTCCTTGTCCTTTTTAAGGTGGAATGACCCTATTAGCTCTCTCTCTCTCTGGGTCTCACCTCTCTATGTTCCTGCGGAGGTCAGACACCTGCACGTTGCCGCGGACCATGAGGGCACAGGCCAGGTACAGGCTGTGTTTGGGGTCAGCCCGGATCAGCTGGTGGTCTTTACTGAAGGCATCAGTGAACATCTGATCAAGCCTGAGGCAGACAGAGTGCACAGCTAAGGAACAACAAATATACAGAAGGGATACATGCCATTTACCTTTGACTCATTCAGCAGACACTATTATGGTGCCTAACAATAACAAAAAAAGTGCATTCAACTAAGAAAACTGAAATACCACACTAGCCCTTTTGCAGTACACTTCACAGGCCTGGACATGATCATTGGCACAATGTGCTGCTAATATATTTCCCACGTTCATCTTGAATAGAGGTTGACACAGGAGTGAAAATTCATTCCTGTTCCGTCTTGTCCTGTAAATTTTTTGCCTGTACTGTCCCAATCCCACAACAGTTCTATAACCCCACAACTTTTCTGTCCTGTCCCGATAAACCCCCCCCCCCCCCCCTGTCCCGTGCTCATTTGAACACTCAGAAATCAGAAATAACTTATTCCTTTAGCGGCACTCTGCTGCGTGAGTTTATCCTTGATTTATTTGGCGTGGGCTACGGCCAAACAGTAGCCTGTGTTGAGTTTGGTTAATAAACTGGGAATTCGTAAACTAAATCCTCTGTCTGGACATTTGTTCATTTATGATCTAGCCAGGTCATTACAATATATACAGTGCATTCGGAAAGTATTCAGACCCCTTGACTTTTTCCACATTTTGTTAAATTATAGCCTTATTCTAAAATGGATTAAATTGTTTTTTCCCCCTCATCAATCTACATACAATACACCATAATGCTAATTTATAAATAATCTCTGTACTTTGCCCCATTCATCTTTCCCTCGATCCTGACTAGTCTCCCAGTACCTGCCGCTGAAAAACATCCCCACAGCATTATGCTGCCACCACCATGCTTCACCGTAGGGATGGTGCCAGATTTACTCCAGACGTGACGCTTGGCATTCAGGCCAAAGAGTTCAATCTTGGTTTCATCAGACCAGAGAATCTTGTTTCTCATGATCTGAGTCCTTTAGGTGCCTTTTGGCAAACTCCAAGCGGGCTGTCATGTGCCTTTTAATGAGGAGTGGCTTTTGTCTGGCCAATCTACCATAAAGTCCTGATTGGTGGAGTGCTGCAGAGATGGTTGTCCTTCTGGAAGGTTCTCTGGAGCTCTGTCAGAGTGACTATTGGGTTCTTGGTCACCTCCCTGACCAAGGCCCTTCTCCCCCGATTGCTCAGTTTGCCCGGGCATAGCAAAGGGTCTGAATACTTATGTAAATAAGGTATTTTGGCTTTTTATTTTAAATACATTTGCAAAAATGTCTAAAAACCTGTTTTCGCTTTGTCATTATGGGGTACTGTGTGTAGATTGATGAGGAACATTTTTATATTTAAGCAATTTTAGAATAAGGCTGTAACATAACAAAATATGGAAAAAGGGAAGGGATCTGAATACTTTCCAAATGCACTGTATATTATGTGAACTGTTGGAATCATATAAATAAAAATGAGTAGGCTATTCTAATTCTATGGTTGGTGTTGTTGTTTGTCATGACAATGAATGAAAAAGCCAGTATAGTAGGAGTTGTGACAGGGTAGAAACCAAAGTGTTGGTCAGTTTTTCCCAGGGGACCCAACCTTTTGAATAGAAATGTTATATTCTGACAATTATTTTAGAATCTGCTTCACCTATTCTCTCGGATTCAGAACATGACGTTGCACAAGCAACATTCTGGCACCACCACTGGCACGAGCCTGCATTATAGCTAACGTTTGCTAGCCAGATATGCCCTAGCTCCATAATCTTTGCTAGCTCAATGTATTTAGCTAGCCAGCATTAGCAGCTAACGCAAACATTATTTGCCACATGATGTGGAGCATGCTAAGACTAACATACTAGCTGTTGGCAGAGATAAAGATACAGAAACTAATAGTATAATACAAAACAACATGTGGATTGATATGAAGAAGCAAAGTTGAAAGCGGTATCGTTCTTGTTTCTTGAATGCATGGGCTAGCTAGCAGAAGCATGCAGACTCAAGCTGTCTCTAATGCATTTCGGAAACTCGGGACCTCAGAGTTCAAATAAAAAGTTATTTGCGTAGAGCTTCCTATTGTTTGATTCAGATATTTCCCAAGTGGGAAACTCTGGTATCATCTTTCTACAACGAGTAAGCATGTCGAGCATGTCACTCAAGCTGTGCCTGCTTGAGTGACACGGGGTGGAGCTTGGTGTGTCACTTGTGTGTCGGAAGCAAGCAGCTGCATGAGAGAGAGGGAAACTGGAGCGAGACGACTAACAGAGTAAACCAGAAAAAATGGACGTTACACGTATAGCGAAAAATATTTCTTTTAAATTGCAGCCTCTTCCGATATTGCACATGTCAATATCGCAATTTCAATTAAAATGTGATTACTTGTGCAGCCCTATCCCGTCCTGAACTTGACTCTAGAATGTAAGTCCTGTTCCTGCACGAATCCCGCAGGAGTCCTGTTCCCTGGTCAACCTCTAATCCAGAGATTCAATTTTGAGATACCTGGATTTATAACAAATGCGTAGTATCACGCTATCACTGTCACTGTTTTATACAGCACAGATCAGAGAAGACAGAAATGGATAAGACAAAGCTTTGCCATTCAATAACTGTCAACAAACGGTACTTGTACTGATGCCGGTGGAGGAGCTCCAAATATAATAACCTGAGTTACTTAAGAGTCTAAACAAATATGAGTAAAAATAGCAGTAGGGACAGCAGAGCAGACCTTCTGGTGGGGATGTTGACATCAGCCAGGGTGTAGAGAGGGGTGAGGCTGGGCACCAAGTAGTGCAGTCGAGGGAAGGGCACTAGGTTCATGGCTATCTCATTCAGGTCCATGTTGAGTGATCCCTCAAAACGAGCTGAACTGCAACATCAGAGAAACAAACAGTTAATTGATATCACACATCAGACATTTCAGAATCAAGCAGACAAACGCTATCGCCTAAAACTAACAACTAGTCTTCTTTATTGACATAAATAACCCCTTTAACAGTGCAATGACTGCACTGTGCAATTAAGTCGTTGGTGGTGGGTGGGTTTTTGAAATTCTATTGCAGCACTTAATTCAGAATTTCCTCTAAAATTTCTTTAAAAAAGACAGATGTTGATTTTTACACTGGCAGTAAAATGCACTGGAGGAGACCAGACTCAAACACCTGGAAGGCTTAATGAAGAGGGTCTGTGAAGGTCAATAAAAGGCCTAGTGCCACAGACAGCAGACAGTTTGTCTCCAGTAGTCTACCTGGTGATATTGAGCAGCAGGTTGGCTACGATGTTGTTCATGGCATCAAAAGGCTTCTCGGCTCCACTGACCCCTCCCTGGCCTGAGATGATGGCACTGTCCTTCTTGATCACAGAACCTGGCTTCCCACTGTGGGACATGTGCTTGATCTTGTTCATTATGTCTACCAATGACTGGAAGAGGAATCATAAGAATGGACAAATGGAAGGGAATTGTTATTTACAACAGTCAGTAACAGATTGTGAAACATTGTCATGTATCATATGCATAATAAGGAAATACCTTGCACGCACGCACACACACCTGATTCTCCACAGGGAGGACACAGTCGGCGTGCTCGGTGAGCTCTCGCATGGCCAGGACACTGTTGTAGGGGGAAGTGATGACATCGTCCTCTGCTGAGGGGTAGACTGAGGTGACGATACGACATACCTCGGGGAACTCCTCCTCCAGAAGTTTCAACACACAGGTGCCCAGGCCTGATCCAGTCCCTGACCATCACAGCATAGGACACAACACATCATGGTTATCCAAAACGTCACACTGAAAAAGCACCAATGCCGTTCATGTAGTAATAATGTGTTTAATAATGTGTTTCAGTAGTTATGAGACTATGAATACATTTGTACACTCCTGAGTCCTCACCTCCACCCATGGAGTGAATGAGAAAGAAGCACTGCAGGCAGTCACAATGCTCTGCTGCCCTCCTCAGCTGGTCCACGATCTGTTCCCTGTAGGCTGAGCCATACGTCCAGTGGCCCACTGCCCTGGAAAATAATAAACGGGTGGCACACTTGCCATTGTTTTACAAATTCATGTTATCAAACATAAAATGTACCTGCAATAGTACTGGTGGAAATGACTACTGGGTGCCAGTCTGGTGCTATCAGTCCTTGTCACTCATAGTCATGCCATAAGAAATGAGCAATGGAGTTGGCAAGAGCACCAACAGATCTGGGACCAGGCTGGGAAATTACCATGTACAGCCTATACAGAACAAAAAAAATGACTTTCATAAGCAGTATTTTGAAGGCATCTGAGATGGCACCCCGTGAGGCAGGCAGACAGTCCCTAACCAGTTGTTGCCTGAGCCGGATACATCAGTGATGAGCTGAGTGCTGTCAAACAATTCTCTCAGCGGGCCTTGTAGGATCTCATTCACCACACCCTCCTCCATGTCCACCAGCACCGCCTGTAGAATACATTAGTCTTGTCAGAGGGTGTGAAGCCGACACACAAACACACATCAATCAAACTGTAGCAATAACTCATCACTGGAATTTACCCTGGCCTTCAGGGATTGGATCCTCCCACCGGTGATGTCACAAGATCCCCCAACGCTTCTCCTGGAAATACACATAGCAGTGAACCACAGTGGTCATTTGGTTGTCTGACTGAACATGCACGTTTCACAGCCATGTAGTAGCTAGGGTTGAATGGATCACAGCAAGAGATTGGCGGGATGGAATTACCTTGAGTCAACATTCCGAAAGAAGCTGCTCAGCGCCTCATCGTAGATTCCTTTCTAAAAAATAGGAAAGACATGTTAGAGATACTGCTGTTCAGATAATGAATAGCCTATGCTATGTCCAATGGAAACATACCAGTATACTTACTTCCTGTCCCAATTCAACACAGCAAGTGATACAACAACAGGAGACAGGTATATTTAGGCTACCAGCCTGAACTTTTTCCACATCAAATCAAATATTTCACCTTTAATTATTTTCTTTAAAAAGTATTACTTACTTTATTGACATGGGAATGTTCCCGCAAAGCAAGATCCCAAAACCTGCAGCCCACCTGGTTACCACACTGTCCAACTGCAGAACACAGACCATGAAAGCTAAGGGGATAGTCAGTCATAGAAAATTATGAAACCAGCTGACCCATATAAACATTAGCTAGCTCTTCCAGTTTCAAGTAATGCTATTCCCGTTGATATTCCTTACTCATCATCAGCCATCTGGGTAACACAACTTCCGCCAACATGGCGCTGCTTTATTTACGAGACCACGGTAAACAATGTGCTCAATATACACAGCCCATCTGAAATTAGCCCACCCAACTACCTCATCCCCATATTGTTATTTATTTTGCTCATTTGCACCCCAGTATCTCTATTTGCACATCATCTCTTGCACATCTATCATTCCAGTGTTAATACTAATTGTAATTATTTTGCACTATAGCCTATTTATTGCCTTACCTCCATAACTTGCTACATTTGCACACACTGTATATATATTTTCTGTTGTATTTTTGACTTTATGTTTTGTTTTACCCCATATGTAACTCTGTGTTATTGTTTTTATCGCACTGCTTTGCTTTATCTTGGCCAGGTCGCAGTTGTAAATGAGAACTTGTTCTCAACTGGCTTACCTGGTTAAATAAAGGTTAAATAAAAAATAATAAATATATAAAAAATATAGATCATCTTTGTCAATGCTCAAAAATCGTAGCAGACAGCAAACAAACTCACCTTGTACAACAACGGATTGTGTCATCACTGGAAATAATATCCGACGGTAACTTATTGCAACATTATATCGTTAACAGAACTTCACAAACTTTCAGCGCAAATGTACACGAATGTAACAAGACAGTTTGATAACCGCGGCACAAGTTTGTCGCAAGTTGATAACGTAGATTTGTCATGGAAACAGAAAAACCGTTGACCAATGCAAATCGTTTCTTTCATCATATTTTCCCCTTTGGTTTGACATCGGCTTGCATCTGTATGGCCGAGATGCGCGCGCGATGAATGTTGAAGCAATCGAAGAAGAACGCGATGAATCAGCGCAGAGGAATGTTCCATCTTACACTGTCATCATACGCTAGATGGCAGTATACTGTCGTTGAAATTCATACATCTCCCTCCTATCATAATCAACCCGATACAGGTAAGACCTTATTTATTGCCTTCACATACAGTAATATTTTTTTTGTTTAGGGCCGACTACATCCAAAAGGTTGTATCGCTGCCCACTTCTGGATTCAAAGTTAAAAATAAAACCATACCACAAAGTCGCTGGGGCCTGAGAGGGTAGTACGGCTCGTGACAGGCTTTCATGTAACTTCGTAGAGGTCCTCCAATCCCAGAAACCGCTCCACAAGTATGTCCGTTTTTCTGGACTTTTCCTCCACTTTGGTAGTGTCGTTGATCACTATAGCCACTAATACTACAAAGCCTATCTTCTTAACATGTATAATATCTGGGTCCTGCTGATGAGAGGCAACACCTACCGCCTGCAGTGAAGGCCTACCCACCACCATGGGCCCTTCGGGACCATTCACTCCCTCAGCCCTCTTGACAGCAGCTGCATATGATACAGCATGTTCTGGTTGGCCCTGACTTTAGCCACCAATTTTTTTCACCCTAGTCGGGCATTCCAAAAATGTAGCAAAATGGTTCCCAGCACAATTGCAACATTTCACACAACCAATACCCATACCACAGTTAATATGTTCTTATCCACAACTTTCACACCTTGGCTTCTTTCTTTTACAGACACTTTCCACATGTCCAAAGGCACTACAGCGATCACACTGCATCAATCTTGGGACAAACCAGTGGCGGTTCTAGACACATTTTACTAGGGGGGCCAAGGAGGGGCCAGTGTTTAATCAGGGGGGCACACATAAAAAAACTGGCAACACATGATATTCAAAGATTATAAACTTTATTTTACTTTAAAATCATATGACATTTATTATAACACGTATTTTGTACAAGAGTGCAGATGCAAGAGAGATAGTGCCATAAAAATGAAAAGAAAAAAAAAAAAAAAAAGTACAGGGTACAAATACAGGGTTCATATTCAATGTGAACAAAACTCCAGGATACAACAAAGGGTACAACAATGTGCCATTTCCTATTTATGGAAGCCCCACTACTGTGGACAGTTGATTCCACATTTTGTTTTAAGAAAGAAAACTTTCTGAGTGATTTATAAACAAAACACACTACCCTGTATCCATTTAGGTAAAATAAACCAAATCAGAAAAGAAATTCAATTCAAAGAGGCTTTACTAGCATGACCATATTGACATACAGTATTGCTAAAGCACATAAACAGGGAAACGTGTTACACATTAACATCCAGTAGTCCAATAGGATGCAGACAATAAACATTAAGTTAACATTCGTTTAAAAGCAACAATCATGTCAACACAATGTAGCAATATGAACAACACTGATGGATATCAGCAACAACATGAAAACAAGAATATTACAGGTGTCTGTGTGTGTGTGTGTGTGTGTCTGTGTCTTTGTGTACTTCACTGTCAGTTGATGAGCAGGTGTACAAAAAAAGGCTTTACAACATATATGGGCAAGTCCATTTAGGACAGCACATTTCCACCATAGTTCACATTAGGAAAAAATGACAGCATGAATGCTCACTAAACAAACATATACTACATATACCTTTTTATACACATTTTTTTTCAGTAATTTTTTAAGAGTGAAAGGGAAGTAAGCAATCGCTCATCATAGGATCATACATATTTCAGTTACAATATTAGTTACAATATTAGTGTTAGTTAGATCATCATGTCAAAGCTGGACCTGCAAAGTCTGAACGACACAAGTGTGCAATGATTGGAGTGATTTTGTTTCTTTTTTTTCTTGCTTTCAAAAGGAAAAATCATAGTTGGTAAAAAATAAAATAAACTTTAGTTGAAAGGTATCACACTGTATAATTTACAAATATCTAAAGAGGTTTAGTGGATGCCATAAAACATCTGTGGAGCTTGAAGATTTGTAGTACATAGATGTTTGGCAGAGATAATTCAAAAGAATAAAATCATAAACTCTATCTAACTTTTTTGTTTGCTGGGGCAAAAAATGACTTTATGTCCCTTCCTCGTTTCATGATAACTATTAGAAGAAGAAAAAACGTAGGGGCATGCATTACATTTTGTTACCTAACCATCCCTCCCTACTTAACACTGGCAGATAACCTGTTGATTACTTTACTAAAAATGTATTTGTTATCGCGATGCAACAGCCAAGACGGATGAAGTTACGTGGTTAACATCACAACATTGTGTAGACCTAGCAAGGATAGCCTACTAACATTTGGATATTTGCTTCTGCTTCGATGAGTTTGCTTAGATATGATTACATTTCTAAACAAATCGAGACCAGACATTTAAAAACTTGATTTGATTTATGTGTGAGGAACAAAAGGAACATGTAGGCTATGTGCAAGAACAACAAGTCACTTATGATATTAAATCGTTTTGCTTACCTTCGACCTTCGGGTGCGCCACTCTAATTTACCCGTGTAGAACGTTGCCGTGTAGAGCGTTGCATTAGTTCCGCTTTTGGCGCTCGCGTGTAAAATAGTTATAAATTCATAATTTTTTATTTGGTCAGCACGGGGGGGCCACAGGTGTGGCCAGGGACATTTCCAGGGAGGCACGGGCCTCCCCCGGCCTCCGTGTAAAACCGCCACTGGGACAAACACTGTTACATGGTAATTCACATATCCCAATTTCACCTCGGTAGGGAGGGACTGCTTCAAAAACGTGTAACTTGACATTTGAATACATTCAATAAGAATTGCAAGCATAATTCATTTTCAGAATTTTTGCTAATCCGTTTACGACTATGAATATATATTCTGCTGTGAATCAAAAATACATTTGATGATTTTGAATCTGCGCGCTTGGAGTTCTGTCACTGTTGTCATGTTGTAGAAAGTTTTGGATGTTTGTAGGAAGAGATTTGCAAATAATAACATGAATTACGCTCTGGGGCAGGACGTTTTACTCCTGACCAATCAGTTCCCTCTGCCAAAACCACAGCCGCCTAACCATTGGCTGGATTTTTCCATCAATCAAATATCAGGAAGTAGAGCAAGCGCAAGTGAAGATGAGGTAAAGAAAACCAAAACAATCTACTTGAAGGGAATCGTCTCTTTTATCTGTGTACGTCGATTTTTTTTTTTGGGTGAAAAGGCATGACAGTAGTTTGCTTATCATGTGAAATATAATGGTACATTTCAGACAAACTCCAGACCAGCATTGCCAGCCGCTGTTGCGTTAGCTATCTGGCCTCTGACATTCTTCCTAGCTTTACTAACAACTGGCAACTTTATCAGGTAGCTTTAAATATGAGGCGAAAACGAATATGTTTACTAGTTAACCATCTGATTGATAGTTTATATAAATGCCATTAACGTTAGCGAGCTAAATTGAAACTGCTGGGGGGAAAGGTTCCCAGTTAACTCCCACCATCATCACTGCAGTGTAGCTAATGTTAGCTAGGTTTCTAGAAAATAAAAACTATAGCTATATTTGTTAGTTATATTTTAAAGACTTGTTTCTGACTTTTGAACCCTTTTTGTCAAACTACTTCATTCCACTGCCTGTGTATTTATTAATTGGTGACTGAAAAAGTTGCAAAGAAAAATGTCCCCAATTTCACTGCAAATAGACTAGTAGGCTGTATTGGTTGGGTATCATTTGGCTGATGTGAACATTTACATGACTGTTTAGTTAGCCAAGTTACTGACTGGGCATATTGTAATTCATGTTTTTGTAAGATCACTAGAAAGCAGCATGCTGCCAGACCACCACATGACCCTAGAGCAGGGGTGTCAAACTCATTTTAGCTCAGGGGCCACATGGAGGAAAATCTATTCCCAAGTGGGCCGGACCGGAAAAATCATGGTATATATATAACTTAAAAACAACAACTTCAGATTGTTTTCTTTGTTTTAATACGATCAACATACAACATAAAGCTGGAGCCTGAGGACAGTGTGTCCAAAATAGTACAAGCACAACATCACTATTAATCATAAAACACGTCAAGTTTATTTGAAAATTCTAAAGAAAAAGAACACACAAACACACAATGCCTCAGTGATTAACAGAACTGTTTCACAGATCACAGAACTATATCAGGGTGTCATGAAATCCTGTTCCCCAAACAAGTGCAAGAACCACAGAGTCAAGAATAGGTTAAATATACAAATAAAATAAAATCAATTAAAAACAATAGCACATCAACATAAAAACATATAAACATAAAGCTGGAGCCTGAGGACAGTGTCCAAAAGCACAACATCACTATTAATCATAAAACACCTCAAGTTATTTGAAAGTTCTGAGGACAAAGAACACACAAACACACAATGCCTCAGTGATTCACAGAAGTATATCACAGATCACAGAACTATATCAGGGTGTCATTTCTCAGGCAGAAATGTAGATAAAAATAATGAAATCCTGTTCCCCAAACAAGTGCAAGAACCACAGAGTCAAGAATAGGTTAAATATACAAATAAAATAAAATCAATTAAAAACAATAGCACATCAACATAAAAACATATAAACATAAATCTGAAAGCGTTGCTCAAACTCCCGTAACAGTCCAGTTATTTTATCTTTGAACCGCTTCATGTCTGCCACATGTTGGGTCGCGCACACATTTTTCAGACAGGGGAAGTGAGCTGCATCACCACCGGCAAGTTGCGTCTCCCACAATGACAGCTTCAACTTGAAAGAACGTATGCTGTCATAATACTGCGTGACAACTTTGTTGCGCCCTTGCAGCTGTTTGTTCAAGTTATTTAGGTGCTCTGTAACATCCACCATAAATGCAAGGTCCGGCATC